TGTTTTCTATTATCTGTCTTATCTGTAGGTACCGACTACCTCTCTGTCTGGTGTCTGAAATAAAAGAAACATGATATAAATGAGAAGTCAAGTCAACTTTATTTATAGAGCACATTTACAAACCGGATTCCAAAAAAGTTGGGACACTAAACAAATTGTGAATAAAAACTGAATGCAATGATGTGGAGATGGCAAATGTCAATATTTTATTTGTAATATAACATAGATGACAGATCAAAAGTTTAATCTGAGTAAATGTAACATTTTAAAGGAAAAATATGTTGATTCAAAATTTCACAGTGTCAACAAATCCCAAAAAAGTTGGGACAAGTAGCAATAAGTGGCTGGAAAAAGGAAATTGAGCATATAACAAACAGCTGGAAGACCAATTAACACTAATTAGGTCAACTGACAACATGATTGGGTATAAAAAGAACTTCTCAGAGTGTCAGTGTCTCTCAGAAGCCAAGATGGTAAGAGGATCATCAATTCCACCATTGTTGCGCAGAAAGATAGTGCAGCAATACCAGAATGGTGTTACCCAGCGTAAAATAGCAAAGATTTTAAGTTATCATCATCAACCGTGCATAACATCATCAAAAGATTCAGAGAATCTGGAACAATCGCTGTGCGTAAGGGTCAAGGCCGTAAAACTCTACTGGATGCTCGTGATCTCCGGACCCTTAAACGTCACTGCACCTCAAACTAACAGGCTCTGTCCCTGTCTGTGTTCTTTATATTTATTTGTGTTCCCCGCTCTGCTCTTTATACTTTTGTTATTCTGCTCTTTGTGTGATTTCTGTTCCTATATATCTGATTCTGTTGTCATTTTCCACTCACTCCTCAGTCTGCCTCTCCAGTCCTCAGTCTTTATCATTCACACCTGTCCCTCATCAGCCACCTGCCCAGGTGCTCTCATTACTCCCTCTCCCTCTGTCTTATAAAAAGCCTTTCTCTCCTCCACTCCTCGTCCGGTCATTGTTCTGTTCTGCACAGACAACATGGTCCTCCTCTGTTCCTTGTGCCAGGTATCTGTCTGAGTTTGAATCTGTCCTGTTCTTGTCTGCTTGGATCCTGCCTGTAGTTTTGCTGCCCTGTCAGCCGTTTTGTTTTTGTGGTTTAAAATAAATTATTTTTATTTTAAACTCCTGCCTCGCTCGCCTGCCTGCATATGGGTCTAAACACTGAGGATTGTGTCACAAACAGGAATGCCACTGTCAAGGAAATAACAGAATGGGCTCAGGAATACTTCCAGAAAGCATTGTCAGTGAACACAATCCACCGTGCCATCCGCCGTTGCCAGCTTTCTTAAGGTCTGTGTTAATCTAATTCACAGATGAGGCCCCTCTGTCCCTCTGCTTATCTGAATCTCCCATGTGCTGCTCACCTGAGTCTTTCCAAAGACCTTCCTGCTCCTTTGTGGCACACCTATGGATCAACATTGTCCCTTCAACATCTGACTACAAACATTTCAGCCTGTGTCGACCTGCTCCTCAACCAACACTCTCCTCTGCTTGGATCTTCTGAAAACCCCGGTCCTCTCTGGCCTTATCCACAAACATAAACAGTAATCTACTGTTTTAAAGACCATACTGCAAACATCATCCCGGAGTGAACTCCATTACTCACCACCTCCTCATTTCCTTTTCAGCACCGAAGCTGCTGTACCTGTAAATAAAGATCACGTTATTTTTGTACTCCTGACTCTGTCATCCTTCTCAGTCTGCTTACTTGGGGTTGACTACTAATATAATCATGAGATCTTGAACCTTTTTATAACAGCAAGGTGGAATTAATTTGATCAAGTGTATCAGCTTAAAATAGACTAACCAGATCTGAGAAGCATTTTTGGTTGTCAACACCCAGGTACACAAGTCAGTGTATTTTGTGGTACAGCTGGATGGAGTGTGTCTTCCTTGGAAGCTTGGCATGCAAGTGTATAATCTGTTCGGTGCGCCAAAGGATGGCTTAGTCCCTGGAGCCAACCAAGGGTCAGCTGAGGTCAACAGCTGCTCAACAGGTCACTTGGCGGGTGGCACAGTTGAAATAGGTCTGAAGTTTTTCAGCTGATGAGGCAGGATTCAGACCAGGTGAGCTGGGTTGACTTTCTTGAACCGCTATTTCTCAGTTTTAGTTTTTATTACTTTGTATCTTAACTGTACCGTCATTGTCAAATGCTGTTTAAAGTTCTATCAGGATAACAAGATGCCATGTGTGAACACCATCCCGAACCGCTGCTGTCTTCTCTAAACCAAAGCTCATTTAAAATGGACTGAGACAAAGTGGAGAACTGTTCTGGGGTCAGACAGATCCAAATCTGAAATTCTGTTTGAAAACCCAGAACACCACGTTCTCATTGCTAAAGAGGAGAGGAACCATCCAGCCTGTTATCAGCTCATAGTTTAAAAGCCTGCGTCTCTGATGGTATGAGAGTGCATTAGTGCCTCTGGCATGATCAGCATAAACATCTGGAAAGGCTCCATCAAATTATCTGCAGGTTTTAGAACATCTGCTCCCATCCAGCAGGACAGTAGAACAGTTAGACTCCTCCATCAGAGCAGACTAGGACAACATTCCCTTCAAAACCAACAACAGTTCTCTGTTTTTTAAAACCTCCAAAAACTGGTCTCCTCAGGTCCTCTAAAATCTCCAACATCTAGTCCACTCTCATTCTTTAAAACCAACAACTGGTCTCCTTTGGTTCTTTAAAACCTCC